TTCCAGGCCCTCTTTAGCAGGGTGGGACTGGGAGGAGAGTGCTGTAGCCTTTTAGCTGGAAGCTAACCGGAGCCTGGGGCTAACATCACCACCCGGTGGAACACTAGCGACATGAAGGTGGGTTGGTTCACAGGCACGTGTCGGAGTCAGCCCGGTAAAAATGATTAACGACACCGAGCAGACTCACGTTTGAAAGCAGCGCTGATTCCAGAAACCTCAGCACAAAGTGCGTTCGTTGCACTGAGCCAGCATAACGAACAAGGGAACGGCGCTGTTAACTCAGTTCAGGTGTTGCTTTCCATCCAAAGGGTCTAAGTAGGGGGCGGGCGTATTACGTGAACGGACCCATCTGATTGGCCGCATATCAGAAGGGCTACATTTGATTGGTCGAATAATACTTCAGCGTAAAAAAAAACAGAGCTGGTTTACAAAAAGTTGATGCATGACACGGATGGAAATGTTTGAACCAAACATTTATCGCCGTTTCTGACGTGCTTTGCGATGGGCCTATCGCACGTCCTGTTATCCCGATGACGATAATTTTTCGATATATTGTGCAGCCCTAGTTAAAGTGATTTGTAGTTCCTTGTGTTGCCATGGTAACAGATGACAGGAGTCTGCTTTAATAAAGCAATGTACAATGTCACATGACTCTTTTAAACTTTGAATAACATTTCTATATTAAAGTATGTTGATACAGTGGTGTCTAAAATGTTGTTAAATGTTGTTGCTAAGCATGTTGCCATGGTAACTCAGAACACAATATCAAGTTAATACAAGACTCCTGGGACAAAGCAGGTTGAATTGATGCATCATATGTGTGGGTGCATATTCCCTTTTAGGTAGAAGACAACTGAAAACTCTCAGCCAATGAGAGAGCAGCAAAGGAGGAGGGGGCGGTTCCTGCCTTCTATGCTGCTAGTTTTAAGTGTATAGAGCTCAGAAAGATAAGAAACGGCAGTTGATACAAGACTCCTGGGACCAAGCAGGTTGAATGGATGTATCATATGTGTGGCTGTCAGCTATGCTGCTAGTTTTAAGTGTATAGAGCTCAGAAAGATAAGAAACATCAGTATGTTATAGGTTCAATATTAGGCTTTTCACGTTCATTTCAATGAGACTTGTTTGGGGATATCCTTATGCACTTGTGTTACCATGGTAACAGATAACACATTTAAAATTTAATACAAGATTCCTGAGACCAAGCTGGTCGATTTGATGTATCATATGTGTGGGTGTTCGATCCTGCTTGGACAGAAAATGGTTGAACACTCTCAACCAATCAGAGAGCAGCACTGTTTTCCCGCCTTTTTCCCCGGCTGTTGGAGGCGCTGTACTCCTGTTAATGAGAGAAGCCTTTAAATCTGTCCTTCAGAAGTGAAATTGGACCTGTCAAACTTCTCATCACCGTTCGAAAAGTACTGCACCGAATAGAAAAATTCAAAAAGCGTGGGCGGCAGAAGGCTTTGGTGGTCATCTGTGTGGTCTTGTGTGCCTACCACAAATGTTCTAGAAGATATGAGGAGAACATTTCAGCTGTCTGTCGGCCACAGGTGCCTTTTTTTAAAGGGGCTTAAATGGAGGAAAGCTGACACAGTCCTGGGGATTGTAGTACAAAAAAATGTAATACCAACAGCAAAACTGAAGACAGCACTTTGAAGCTGACAAAAAACCTACTAAATTTGAGGAGATCATTAGGGTACTATAAAAGATGTGGTCGGTGGAAATTTTTGTTTCAAGATTTCATATATCATGCATTTAACAGAGCTCAGCTGCTCGGATGTCATTTCAGACCTCTGAAACGTCTCATCGCCATTCAAAAACTGCTGCAACTATTGGAAAAATTCAAAAAGCGTGAGCGGCAGAAGGCTTTGACGGTCATCTGTGTGAATTTTTATGTGCCTACCATGAATTGTCTAGAAGCTATGACGAGAAAATTTTAGCTGTCTGAAGCCGATCGTCGGAGAAAATCTCTGTTCCTTTAACATGGGTTTCAATGAGACAGAATCAGGGTCTCTCCTCCTTCTGAGGTTTGTAGAGAAAGAACCGTAACACTTAAGGACAAAATTAAACTCATTCTGAAAAGCTGACAGAAATTCCTACTTTTTTAGATATAATTTGTTTCGGTAGTCCAAACGGTCTGGGTGTTGGAAAGAGTTGTTTCCAGATAATGTGAAGGTCAAAAGTTAGAGTTCTACCTGTGATTTTAGAAAAACTGTAATAGATATCAAAGATTTTTTAACCAGTAATAGTTTAAATTCTTGTGAGTTTGTTGAAACTTGAATGAAGTCTCTAGGTTAAAGTTAAACTATAAGAGTAAGAGTTGAAAAAAGTGATAGAATTAAGCTGAAAATTGAGCAATCCCATTCATTTCAGTGGGACCAAAAATCGCAGAAATGGCTGAATATCTCAAAAAGTATAAAATATTTTAATACCAAAAGTCATTGCCGGCATAAGCTGAACGTTTTGATAGCAAAATTGTGTAAATAGTTGAAGAATTGTGGAAGTAGGTAAATGTCAAAAAACGTACGGAAGCAGAATAATAAAACTAACTATAAAGAGAAACAGGATCACTATAGTTTGAATGTTTTACAGCATTCAAACAATAATTAATTAATTAATTAATTAATTAATTAATTAATTAGGGCTGCGCAGTGGTTAGAGCTGTTGCCTTGTAGCAAGAAGGTCCTGGGTTCGCTTCCCGGCCTGGGATCTTTCTGCATGGAGTTTGCATGTTCTCCCTGTGCATGCGTGGGTTCTCTCCAAGTACTCCGGCTTCCTCCCACAGTCCAAAAACAAGACTGTTAGGTTGATTGGTCTGTCTAAATTGTCCTTAGGTGTGAGTGTGTGTGTGTGTGCATGACCGTTTGTCCTGTGTGTCTCTGTGTTGCCTCGCGATGGACTGGCTCTCTGTCCAGGGCGTACCTCGCCTGATTGCCCATTGACCCTTCCCCACCCCCCACCCCCGCGACCCTGCATGGACAAAGCGGGTTCAGAAAATGGATGGATGGATGGATGGATGGAAGGAATTAATTAATCACAAAGCATCTGGAGAGAGCTCACCTGTAGCGTTTGAGCCGCTGGACGTCCCGTCTCCGTGTCCCTCACCATGCTGTCCAGCTGCAGATCTGAGATGCTGAAGAGACTCTGTGTGCTGGACACGTTAATCTCTGTTGGAGCGTAGACATCAGTCACTTTGCTGATGGACATGTTCTGACCCAGTCCTCCTCCTCTCAGAACCGGAACATCAGCTTGGCAGCTGAAGCGGCACGCAGCTGCCTGGCCCGCCTGCCTGGAGCCAGAGTCCGACTTGGGTGGAATATACGATACAAAGATGACGTTTTCTTCACCCTGATGAGAGACGGGGGATGTCTCAGAGGACGGAGCTGGCTCCTCGTCATCGTCACACAGATCGATTACATCATTTGAGTGGTTCTGAACTCTTGGGTTCTGCCCTGTTTGGGTCACAGCTGGATGGCAGGACCACGGTGCTGCGGAGGACGAGCCGTTATTTTGGGCAACGAAAAACACCCTCCCATCGTACATGACCAGGGCGTTTTCTGTCCCCCCCAGCAGCCCGGGGAGCTCCTGAAGGAGAACTTAAAGGTGATGTAGTCTCAGCTGCACGCCCCTTCACCTCCTCGATCTCCCATCTTATGGGACTGTTGGGCCTTTCTGAAACCTTTGGAACCAGTTTTATGTGTGGTTCTGCTCCTCTGGGAAGATCTGGGTTTGATGGGAGCTTGAGAGGTGTGGGGTTGATTCTGCTTGGTTCACGGTGGTGACGGGTGACACGTACACTACTGTGGGAGTAGAGCTGCTGGAGGATGAGGTGAAGATCTGATCTTTGATCAGAGGGGGGAGCTGGGACACGGGGACTCTCTGGACTTGTGCGTTGGGAGGGATCCTAAGGAACTGACCTCTGGGAAGGGCTGGAGAGCTCACCATCACTGGAAGTTGATGTGAAGGTCTGGTGGGAGGAGCTGCCTGAGGTGGACGCTTGCTTACTGAGACCAAACGGGCAGAACGCATTTGACCGGGGACGACGTTAGCAGCAGAAACCGTCTCTCTGGACAATTCTTGAGTGACAGCGCCGGTTTTAGTCACGGGGCTGAGGATTTCTGTCTGTTGACTATTTTAATAGGAATCAGCTTCATGATGTTCATTGTGTGAATTATCGCACCAAGTGATGTCACCATCTCACCCAGCTGCTTGGATATGGTCTTGTAGCGGATTTCAGCCTTGCATGGCTCAACAATCTTGTCCCTGACATCCTTGAAAAGCTCTTTGGTCTCAGCCATGATGCAGACTTTTGGGATCTGGATGCATAGATTGCTTCTATGAACAGGTGTCTTTTGGGCCTTTTCTGCCAGTACCTACTTAACACTGCTCAACTCAATTTGGCCTGGTTCAATGGGGATTCCACCGGTATCAAGTATCAGGTTCCAACCTCCTTTTTAGTACCTCCTTTGAAGTGGTTCCAAGCATCTCGGTGCTGAATTTGACCCAAAACGTGGCATCAGAGAATGTGAGTCACTGATTGATAAGGGGGCTCAACTTTTGGTACTTTTCTTCATCTGAAATTAGGTTTTACTCTTTAATTTGTTTTCACCTTTTTTATATTTATATTCTATACCAAATATTTTAAATTTGTTGGACACTATAGGAACCACACCCAATTTTATTGTACTTGTTTTAATGACAAAGATATTCAGAAGATGTAGAGACCACAACGCAGGGATGTCATTGAGTAAATGGTAGATGGCCTGGTGCTTTACAACTAACCAGTCATTCACCCATGCACACACACACTCACACGCTGGTGGTGATGGGCTACAATGCAGCCACAGCCTCCTTGCCCTGGGGCACACCAACAGAAGTGAGGCTGTCGTTCCTGCTGGCCAACACTTGGACCACCACTAGCAGTCAAATCAGGTCAAGCACAAACCTTTGGCAGCAAACCAATTACATGTAATCATAAATTCATACACATCAAATACCTTTGATGAGCTGCCAGCAGATGAGTCTGCCTTCCCAAAAGGCATTTTAACCAGAAGTTTGCCTGGAGTCTTTTCAACAACTCGTTTCATGGCTACACCCTCAGTGACCTGTCGCATCTTTCCACTGCCTACACAAACATAAAGGATAAACATACAACTGCAGAGACTTGTTACCAGATTCACTTTCCCATCACCGAGTACCTTTAGGCCACCCACGACCTCGCCCTGACGGCTTCACCACCTTTGGTTTCTTGAAAGGACGCTTCTCACGACGGGAAGGGCTTCCAAGTCCAGTGACAGTAAAATCAAAATCGTTGGGGTCAGTAGTCGTATCACCAATCTTCTCAAAGTAGGCAATAAGTTCCGCCTTGGAACGAAAAGCCTTCCCCTCTGAGCTTTACAGCACGGAAACAACAAAACACTAACATTATTCATCTGTATCTTTACTACACTGCAGCATAACCACTGAGTTTGGCTTACTTGATTAGGTAAACGTCAAACTTTCCAACAAAGCGTCCAGACTTTCTTTGTTTCAGTTTACGGGTCCAGCCTTCGGGCAGTGAAGGGTCCTCATACATTGGCCCCCGGTCCCGAATGATGGAACGTCTCTGCCTGAGAGATGCTGCAGACTCAGACCCTGGCTCTGAGGGGCCCGCCTCTGGTTCCAACACCTTCAAGGATGAAGTGAAGAGAAAATTCTGAAAGTGTTTATATCATCTTGGACTATGTTGTGTTGTTTGGTGAAGGATCAAATGGAGTCTAAAGGTTCACCTGTTCTGTACCTGACTCTGAGGCTCAATGCTTGTCTGGGTGTGCCCTCTTGCAACTACAGGCGTGGTTGTGGTCTCAACCCCCTGGTCGGCATGGTGACGCTCCCGACGGGCCTTCTTGCTCTTACTGTGAGAGCTATCTCTTTCTCTGGTGGAGGGTCTGGGGTTGGCTTGTTCCTCATCACTTGCTTGACTCTTCTCCCTTTGGAAAAAAGAGGATATTCTGAGTGGGAATACTAAACTACATAATGACAGAAAAGTGCTTGTTGTCTGACAAACCGGAACGTGTATGTAAGGGTGAAAATGTATTTAACTAGGAAACTTGTAACAGCTCATCACCATCATTTCCAAACCAGTAATTAGTCACTGTGCGCTCAAGATTCAGCACATTACCTTACTAAAACGATATACAGTAATCCCTCGTTTATCGCGGTAGATGCGTTCCAGACCTGGCCGCGATAGGTGAAAATCCGCGAAGTAGGGACTCCCAGCATGCCCCTCGCGGGGATTCCCTCCACGTTGCACCTACGTCACAAACCGTGGCTATAAACGGAAGTCGCCTTTCCAGCTCACCACTCAGTCATCGTTTCTTCAGATTCATGATCAGAGTTTCTAACCTACCGATCAATCCAACGAACTATCAGCTCATAGTAAGTTATCTTACTTACTTCTGGAAAGCCCGGCATTTCCGTGTCACTTCGTTGACGCTCGAACGCTCGGGGGTTTCCTAGATCAGCTGGCGTTTCACCGACGCTATCACTTCCGCGTCTGTGAAACCACGCTCCCTATTGAATTATCGTATGATCACATTCTCTTTTTGTGGGTAAAACTCAAGAAAAAAAACTTTTTACTTGGTTTTTTTAGTTTTATTACAAAAAGTGCATTTTATGATGAAATTGATGAAAAAAAAACAGGAATTTCTTGATATTTCGCATAGAAAAATACCGCGAATCAGTGAAAAATACCGCGAATCTGCGAATTCCCCCTGAAAAATGCTCCAAAGAAAAAATCCGCGAATCCGCGATGAACGAACCGCGAAGTAGCGAGGGATTACTGTATTCGCTATCCTCCTGTGTGCAGGTGAGTGGCGTTGCAGAAGCAACAAATCACGTTTTCAGCATGTGTGCAGCCAGCCAGTGTATCGAACAGCCAGCGACCCAGATGTACAAAAGTTGGTAGTTCACTCTGTGGTCTTCGTTGCAACTTCAACTGGATGCTTGAACTCTTTAAGTTTTTTTTTTTCAATAAAATATTCCATTTTGACATGGCTAGTTCAAAAGGTTTGAAAATGGTTGGAGATAAAGGCACACTGTGAATGGGAAAAATCTTCAGTAGCCTATGACCCAAAGCTTTGGATGGGAGCAAACTCACTCATCTCATTTGATAATATCATGACATCATCATGCTGCCATACTGGATTGCATAATTTTTTACAGATGTTCCTTCTTATGTTTACATGGTTTTTGTTACTCTAATGATATATTTAGAATTTATATATACATAAATACAGTTGTGTTTACGTTTTTATTGAATATTTAATTTTTCGTATTTGTATTTTTTATCCATTCTTGGCTGAAAATGGATGGATGGATTTTTTAATATTTGTATGGGCCTGACTCAAGACAAATGCTTTATATTTGTCAGGTTTTTGGGACTTGTACAGCATCAGGGTTGACCTTTCCTTCAAGGCAAGGATCTTTTCATCCAAGGAAAATTTTTGTGTGGACCATAAACAGCTGGAATAATCACATAAATTTAGAGCATTTTGTGACTATTTGTAAAAGCTGAGAAAATGTGAGTTCCATCGTTCCTCTATCTCCTTCCTTGGTTTTTCCATCTCTCCCAATCAGATGGCCATGGACCCTGCCAAGACCTCAGCTGTCGTCAACTGGCCCGTACCCACAACCCGGAAACAACTTCAACGATTCCTGGGCTTTGCCAACTTCTATCAGATTCATTAAGAATTACAGTACAATCGCCGCACCCCTTCATGCTCTCACCTCCAATAAGGTCAGTTTCCTATGGAATAACTCAGCTCAAACCGCATTTCAGACACTCAAAAACTTGTTTACATCGGCTCCCGTCTTGCATTCTCCTGATACCTCAAGGCAGTTTATTGTGGAGGTTGATGCCTCGGCCTTTGGCATTGGTGCGGTGCTCAGTCAAGAGGTCACAGGATGATAAGATCCACCCCGTGCATATTTTTCCAAAACACTCTCATCCACAGAAAGGAACTATGATGTCAGGGACCGGGAGCTGCTGGCTATAAAGCTGGCTCTTGAGGGATGGCGTCACTGGCTAGAAGGGGCTATCATCCCATTCATTGTCTGGACTGATCATAAGAATCTGGAATACATCAAGACAGCTAAACGACTCAACTCTCGCCAAGCAAGGTGTGCCATATTCCTTAGCAGATTTAATTTCACCTTGTCTTATCGCCCAGGTGACAAGAATACCAAGCCCGACGCACTGTCCAGATCTATGGAACCCGTGAACCCTGACCCTGTCCAGGACCATGACTCCCTCATCCTTCCAAGAAGAGTCCTACTAGGGGTTTCCAGACTGGACCTGGAGAACCAAATCCGGCAGTCCTATCAGCAACATCCTGTTCCTTCCTCATGTCCAACTGATCGCCTGTTTGTTCCTGATGATCTTCGCTCCCAGGTACTCACATTTTGCCATAGTTCACGTCTCTACTGTCACCCAGGCTTCTCCAAGACCCTCGCCCTCATACGCAGTCACTTCTGGTGGGCTACCCTGCAAAAGGACCTTAAAGAATTTGTTTCAGCCTGTCCGGCCTGCGCCAAAGCCAAGTCTTCCCGCAAACCCCCAGCAGGACTGTTACGTCCCCTGCCCATACCACATCGTCCATGGTCCCACCTGAGCATGGACCTCATCACTGGTCTTCCCTCCTCAGACGGGCATAAGGTAATCCTTAACATTGTCGACCATTTCTCTAAAATGTCTCATCTGGTGCCTCTTAAAAAGCTCCCCTCTGCTAAGGACATGGCTGACATCATGGCTAGGGAGGTTTTCCGCCTTCATGGGATACCTGTGGACATTGTTTCGGACCGGGGACCTCAGTTTGTCTCAGGCTTTTGGAAAGAGTTCTGTGCCCGGCTGGGCATCCAAGTAAGCCCCTCTTCCGGCTTTCATCCCCAGATGGACGGGCAATTGGAGAGGGTCAATCAGGAGGTGGAGACCAGGCTCCGGCTACTCTGCGAGGATGATTCCACCTCTTGGCCACGTAACCTGCCTTGGGTGGAGCATGCCCTCAACTCTCTTCCGTCAAACTCCACAGGTGTGTCACCATTCTATGCTGTTTATGGCTTCCAACCCCCTATCTTCTCCCTACAGGACCGTGAGTCCAAGGTCCATTCTGCCCAGGTGGCTGCTCTCAGGTGCCATCGTGCGTGGCGGTTGGCTCGCAGGAACCTCGTCCGGTCCTCTGCTGTATACTCCCGCTCTGCCAATCGTCGCCGCCTGCCGGCCCCGACCTACAACATTGAAAAAATCGGGTGTGGTTGTCCACGAAGGACATACCCCTGCGGGTGGATTGCCGCAAGCTGGCCCCTCGCTTCATCGGGCCCTTCCTGCGGCGGTTCATCTGCGCCTTCCCAGGCCACTGCGCATCCACCTTACGTTCCATGTCTCCAGGGTCAAGCCCTTCGTCTCCTCGGCCCTTGTGCCCTCCTCCAGGCCCCCTCCGCCCGCCCAGCTGGTGGGGGGTGGGCCGGTCTGGGATGTCAGGCGGATCCTACGATTCAGGCGCTGGAGTAGGGAACTTCAGTACCTGGTGGATTGGGAAGTTTATGGCCCTGAAGAGCGTTCCTGGGTCCCCGCCAGGGACATCCTCGATGGGTCCCTCATCCGCGACTTCCACCGGACCCTCCCTGATCAGCCTGGTGGGCCGGCTAGTGCCGGCCCTTGAGGGCGGGGGGTACTGTTAGGGCTGGGCGATATGACGATTTTAGACCGTTTTATGATCTACACATCTGACGGTCTGTCATTTTTGAGAGACCGTTTTATCACGATTCACAGCTCTGCTGTTGAATTTCTGCCTCTGAATGAAAAGGGAACTTACCTCAGGCGAATGACACGCCTTTGTTTGACCCTTAACCAATCAGAGTGAGTCATAGTAATATATTAGTGCCTGCCCCGCTTGTTTTCCCCTGTGTGTGAACAAACATGGCTTCGCCGCAGCTGAGAGCGACAACGAGGTTTTCGTTCCGAAGAGGAACGCAGGGTTTCCTTAGCGCGCGGCGCTAACAACTTAGTGACTTGACATGTCTCGGAGAAAGCGTAAAAACACGTTGGACGCTTCTTCTGAAGCAGGAAAATAACACCTCTTCTTAAGCAGAGCACGACGTCGCCTCGGCTCGTTCACCCTCTGCCGAGCCGGTGTCGGTACCGGACTGAGCTCGGTCACTGGGTCGCTGGAGCTGCCCCGTGACTGCCTGATGGAAAACCAGCGGGTTTCATCAGACTCGTAGTTTCTTGTTTTTGCTGTATTTTACCGCTCCCTCCTGCAGTCTTCCCCTATTAACATTTAAAATGATTCTGTAAACTCCGTGTATCAATAGAAACAATCTCTGCCTCTGCCAGCTGCAGTAAATGTAGTCTCCAAATAGTAAATAAGAGGTGCATTCATCTGTGTATCTCCTTTGACCCACATTAGTGATGTTTTCAGCACCAGAACAATGAAGCAAAGAAAGATTCCTGAGTTTGTTAGTAATTTTATTTATTAGGTGCATCTAACCTGTTCTATTTTTCTCTGAAATGAGATCAAATCAGTGCTTCTATGGGTTGTCTCCAATCTGCACTGGAAAATTTTACTTTATTTAGAGACTTGTTGCAGAAAATATTCAGAATGCGCAGTTTTTTGCTACCACAAGCGATCTCTGGTCCAGCCGCACATCAGAGCCGTATTTGAGCTTAACTATCCACTACATGAGCTACTGGGAGCTACATAGTATTTTGAACAAGTTAATGTTTGCACAATACGTTTGCAATTGACATGTTTGCACTTTAAATATGTTTACGATTTTAATTTATGTTAAGTTACTTGAAAAACGAGAAAAACTGATTTTTGTAATAGTTTCTCTCAGGGCTTTTATCATCTCTGGTGTGAGTTTAAAATATAAGTGTGTTAGCATTGTGTTGATTATCCCTAATATGAATAAATGTTTATTTATTCAATGT